ACTTATTTTTCTCAGATACTAGGACTGACAGACTGCTTGTCTCGGTCTCACTGTAGCATTAGAGTTCCCTAATGCCATGGGTGCTACCTGGTTTTCATATGAAGGAAGTGGGTCTTAGGAGAGATCTTTTCCAGGACCTCCTAATGCAACAGCAAGCTTGAACAGCACTCCAAAGAAGAGAGATTCATTTAATATTGACAGTATTATCYTACCTTCCTCCACCTCATCTGATCTACTTCAGCAGGAGGATGTCCACATCTTCAGATCTTTTTCCCATCTGCTTAAATCAGTCTCTTTGGATACAGCGATGTTGTACTTCCTTTTGTCTACCACAGACCTTATTGTCTCTGCTTGACAGCAAAAAACTGCCTGCTCTTTCTGCATCCTCTCCATGTCTCCTATTACTTGCCATCTTCGACTCTGTTATCCATAGGTGGAAAATCCACTTTATAGATTAACCTCCAAGACTAACAGTTGTAGGCACAGAACTTGGCTCCAGCATCAGAAACACGGCAGCATACCAGGAACAAGGGAGTCCACACAAGGCAGGATGTGTCCACCACGGATGTAACTCGGCACAGAACCAGGGACACAGTCACGCTGCTTCCACCCAAAGGGTACATGTGCATAACACTGCCTCGGGTCTTCACCTGGATTCATTTTTGTTTAATTATCTCTGGGCATGTCAATCAAATCTTTAACCTCTTAGAATTTCTTGGATGGTCCCACACCCTTATTTACTTGTGACCTGTATGGCCTGCATTGGCTTTTGCTTTATCCTGTTAACCCTGTTCCCTCCCCTCATTACTGGCAGCTTGTCAGCTTATCAAAAGCTGCTTCTGTTCCACCTCGCCACAGGTTTCACMAGCTCAGCAACAACCCTGCTCCCAAAGGCAGCATCAGCATGCGCAGTTACATCACCTCACACATTTTGGGTACGCTGATACTACACCAAACAATAACAAATGCACTAAATAATGAAGCAATARCCATGACAACAATAGTAAGAACAGCTAACTGTCTGGGTGCTTGCTTCCTTTGTAGTCCTTGTTGAGAGGTTTAGCTGTTAAAGGCTGTACTATGTTATAACATTGCCAAAATATTAATAGCCAAGCAGAGAGATGAATGGSAGGCTTACATTGTACAATTAAAACTTTTCCAGTTTATCCTTTCAGTAAAATTTGTGGTTTATAATAAGCATCTTTGTCTATTCTGAAGAGAGTAAGGACTGGAAACTTGCATAGATGGGAACAGAGGTTCATTAAAGATTTAAAATAGAATGTGGCTTGGCATTGTAAAACAAACATGAGTATAAGATGGGTTGAATCAAGGGCCGCCTGAAAGAAACGCTCAGTGTTCCTTTCCTCTTGTGATCCTGGATTTACTGGTCACGCTACCCACAGAAAGGGATAAAGAGCAGCCAGAGCAAAATGTGCTTGCTTGTTCCCTGACAACATGGATGTTTGCGTTACATCCCCTCTTGCTATATATTTCCTATATAAGCATATTTGAAAGCATACACATGCATATACAAACATGTGCATCTTTTGCATCACGCATAGAAATACTCATTATTATACTTTGTATTACTGATTTTTCTTACCTTAGTGCCTAGAACTCCGGCTGCAGACACCATGCTGACCTGCACGGAGAGCTTGTGAGCAGCTAAACATGCAGGCAGGGAAAGATATTTGCTTGAGCCTAATTCAAAACAAGGCAGGCTCCTGTTTCCCAAACACCGAGCAAGCCAGGGGAAGCGCGACGCRTCAAAAGCACTCCAAGAAAGTCAAGATTTGAACAGGAAGCTTAACATTACCAGGTAATTTATTTACATCCTTGGACACAGCTTCGTTTAGATACGAGGCAGGTGCTTAGGGCTCGGATTTTGATCCCTCGGGCTCAGAGTTTTGCAGAGAAACCTGCAGACGCTGCACGAGCGGCCCGACGGATGCTCCTCGCCCGTGAGCACCTAGGCCTGGGCCAGCAGTCCTGCTGATTAACAAAGTCTAGCACTAGAGGGAGGCTGAACACACGTTCCGTTCGCCTCGGCCTTGCCGGCTTCTGCAAACGTTAAAGAAAGGCGGCTCACAGGGAAGCGGAGGCCGGCAGCGCTTCCCCGGCGCGGGAGAGGCGCTATTTAAAGCGGCATCCTCTACTGGCAAAAATCACCCTTTTTCTTTCTACACTCATTTGACACGCACCCAAGTTCCCAAAAAGCGGAGGGAAGAGATGGTCTCTCCCAAGGAGGCTCCTGGAGGACRGTGCATACGTATCCTCCCGGCCACGTTTGGTATTTCTCCTCCCCAATGTCCTTGGACAAGCAGACCTTTCCTCCTGCATCCCTGCAAGGGAGCCATCAACTGGCAGGTGCCAACCTGGCCTGTGACACACGGAAATGCAGAGATGGTTCCTCACACACGTGCCAAGGAGCTCGGCAAGCCCCCYGGGCCTGGGCACATATGAAGGGGCACCCAGGGAACAGCTAAATTGAAGTCTACTTTGTATTAAATATCTTGTTATAGGTTTTTTGAGGGCTTGAACCTGTAATTTCAGGAGAAGTGGCCATTTCAAACGTGGGGCAGGCAGTCAGAGCGTCACTGGGGCCATGAGAAGGATGGAGCCTCTGGAATATGTCTATCCTGATGCCTCCTGCTTGCTTTGCAAGGGGACACAGGCAGCATTCCCTACATTTCCCACACGTTCCCATCCCTGAGCGCTCCTGCCTCACGCCAAGGGAGGAAACCAGCAATGCTCTAAGTTAACAAAATGGGATGTTCTGAAAGCACTGAGTGAGAGAGTTCTGAGACAGAATATTTTTCTCACTTTTGATTTCCTACTGGATCTGTTCAGAATTCCCTTTTTTTTTTTTTGATTTCTGGTCTCTAAAGAAGAAAAAAAAAAAACCACTTTTCCCCCTCCCAACTCTATTTCCCTTTTATTAAGCAGTGATTTCATTTTTCTTCCCATCCAGCAGTTCTTTTTTTCAGTTGTGTTGTTCTGGGGTTTTGCTTTGCTTTTTCCCCTCCTTCCTCTTCAGTTGAGCACAGGCCAACATGGCAAGGGGCTCTGGGCTTATGTCCCTGTTTGAGGAGCGCACCGTCCCGCACCCTCACCACTGTGCTGGGAACAAACCTCTGCCGGCCCATGTCAGCTCACAGGGAACTTCCCCCAGCTCCAACAGGCTGCTCTTCAAAATAAACATTTCCATTTCTTCTTTTCTTTTTTTTCTTTTTTTTTTTTTTAATAGTTAATATGAACTATTAACTATTCCTCTCTTGCCCAAATCTGTTGTTAATATGAGCATAATAGACCTAGATGAAAAAACTGAAATTACAAGAAAATCAAGAAAATGCTAGATCTATTGCAAAGGTATTTTATGGCTCAATCTGCCTTTGATTTCAATCAGAGTGCAGGCACCTAAAGGGAAGTAAGATATTAAAGTACTTTTTTGGATCTGATCCTAAGTGGTCAGTTTCATTGTCCAAATAAAGAGAACCAGAGATAAATAGGCCTATGAAAAAGAGGCATTATTATTTTAACTGCTAATCCATAAACTACTACTTAGATTGTAATAATCTGTTCAGCTTTTAGTCATTTGCTCACAGATATGCATGACACAGTAATAAACTAAACATATCCATGTTGCTATCTTCATCATCTTAACACTTAGTATAAAATGCTTTAGCTGGGACCACGGTGCACATATTTCAAAAGCTGCCACCAGTTTAAAACTCCACCATCCAGAGGGAATTATCTGTTTTAATGAGGTTGATTTGCTGGAGCGGATGAATTTCAAACTCTGGAGCACATTCAAAGGTCTCACATTGAACAGGGCATTGTAAGGAGTTGCAGAGGCAAGACTGCTCCAAGACAGCAGCCTGGGAGGGTTCACCCTCAGGAATGGGATCTCCTGTACCAGTATCTCCATTTAACGGAGAAGAAACTGAGGCGCAGTAACAACGTGACCCACCTAATGTCACAAAGCCAAATCAGGTTTAGCTTCTGTCTATTGGAGCTCAGTCCAACACACGGTCAAGGAGAGTCTTCCCTGCGTATTTTAATGTCTTGAGGGGCTTTGCAAGCACCTCCAGGAGACACAGCAGAGACCAATCACTTGTTCTATTATGCCAAAGAAACCCCATGACTACAATTAAAAAAAAGAAACTAGTGTTCAACGAGTACTGCACATTTTTTCCCCTTGCCATTTGTCCTTTTCACTCCTCATTTCTTGGGCCTTCTCACTTCAGCTTCATTTTTGTTACTCCTGCAAGATAAAGAGCTGACCTTGCACCAACATAACCTGCAGGCTCCCGGATTTAGCCCTTACTTTTGTTAGTTCTTGATATCTTTCACAGAGCATGGAACAGGAAGGKAAAGGGAAGAGAAGGCAAAAGATTAACACAGATTAAAAGCAGAGATTTGTCTGCTACACAGAGTAAATCTGAATGTGGTGATAAAGAGGAGTGGTGGGATGCAGCTCCAAGGCTTACTTCCTTCAGAGTAAGCTGCCATCCACAGAAATCCTTCTCTAACCAGATGCCTGCCAAGACCAAAGCTGTTTGCAGCGCTCCAGCTCTGGCACTCCCAAGCCAGAGAGAAAGGGTGTGACAAATAGCAATTTCATGAGCTCAGTAGGGAACAGTCAGCCTGTCTGGTGGTTCTACCAAGAGGCATGTTTCACTGGAAGCCCTAAGAGGCTCAGGCAAATCTTTGGACAGCTGCAGGAATGAAGGAGGCACCAGGATCAGGCAACCACGGAGAGTTGAGTAGAGCCCACTGCAATAAACGTAACAAGGCCACTTCCTTGGGCACCACAGGAACCTCCCCAGGCTGTGGGCTGACCCCAGAGAAGCATCTGAGGCAACAAGGGCCAAGCTGCTGACAAAGGGGCCCCTGCCTGCAAYTGCAGAGCTCGTTGTCCCTCTCCAGCAGCCTGCTGCTGTGTCACTTCCTAACTCAGTCTGCTCCCATGAGGTTGGCTCATCCTGGAGAGATAACACTTGCTGGGGAATTGCTCCTTTCCCCCAAGGCTGGGAAAAGCCATGCTCCTCACTTGGCTAATGTCCCTGATSGTTGCAGCCTTTCCTGGCAACAAGCAACATGCTCTCCATTAACCCCTTCCCTCTCAAGAACTGCTTAAAATGCCTAACCCAATGCAGGAATGTAGTTAGAAAAATACTGTGATAGCATCTAAACATCTCGCAAGAAGCAAAAGACAACAAGCCCACTCAAGAGAGCAATGTTATTTCCTTTTAATAGAGGTATAAATTAGGCAAACTTATTCCAGATTTTGGCAGTGCTAGGAACTGAAGTCAAAGCTTTCCAGTCACATCTCCTGTTTGTGTACTAGGCTGTTCTCATCTCACTTTAGGGATACAGAACTACCACAGCCTTCCACTCAGGGCAGCCTCTTGTGACTCTGTACACCTGGCTGTGCAACACACATCAACTTTAGACCTAGACCACCCCTTTGCTCTCACTATTCCTCCCACAAGGCTGTTTTTGACCTGCACGCTCCTAGCTAGAAACTTTCTAATTACCAGCCTAAAGCTACTCCTGGCAAGTCCACCTCATTCTGTTCCYGTACCTAAACTCACCTTGAGCTGAAGTAATTCTTCCTCCTCTCTGATGTTTACTCCCCAGATGTATTTAAAGTTTGCAGTCACAAGTTAACCCCCTCTCAGGCTCCCTTTTGCACAGCAAACAAACCAAACCCTTCTGGTCTCCTCAAGCAAGATCAGTTCCCCACTCTTTGATCATCCTGACAGCCTGTCCCCACAGTCACTACAGTCACAATTCAACTTTCTGGAATATGCCTGACCTAATAAAACAACAACACTGCATTCCAGGTGAGCCAGCAATTTCTGCACAGAGGTGTTAATACTTCCCTGTACAAAAAGGGAATGTCATTGCCTGATACATCCAGAAGTGGCAGTTTCACCCAGAAAGCAATACTAGAGGACTCAATGCAGCAAGAGGGACTGAAAAGGATCTCAGTGACATTGCTGGAGCCTCAGCCAAGGCTTATTTACCTCACTTAATTTTAGGCATTTAGGCAAAACACTTTTAGGATCAGATTACTGCCCTAAGGTCTCTCCACAGCCAGAGGAAGGAGATGGGCCTTCCAGAAAGTAATTAATTCTGGGAAGGCTTCACTCCCATCCACTATCACATGAACACAAGGCAATTAGTCCTCTAATTCAAGCCGGATGGGAAAAAAAAATCCTTTAATAGGCCAGCAAATTTTTAAATGGAAATATTCCCCTGCTTGGGAAACAAAGATTCCTAAAGCTGACTTGAGTGTTCATGACATATGATCAAGCCACAGCACTTTATCCACCTCGTTTGATTAACTACCATTTATCTCCACAAATCCCTACTGGATAYGTTCTACTCTAATAATAAAACTCTTGGCGTCTTACCTGCACGTTGAAAGAAACGTCATCCAGAGGGGGTGGTGGAGGGAAGGCACCTGGTGGCGCTGGCATATTCCTGAGATCATCAACAGGAGGAGGAGGTGGCGGAAGGAAATCCCCTAGGAGAGATAATCAAGAGAACTCAGAGTGACAGCAGAGCACCAGCATTTTCCCACTTCATTTTACTATGGCTAATCCATCCCTCCCGGGCTACTGGGGTCACTGCCTGGGAGAGAAAAAGCAGATACCCACAGAGAGACAAGAGGGATGAACGGAGCAGTTGGAGCCTGCGTCCTGGGATGAACTGTGCTATATTCCCAGCTCTGCCCCTGCTTCCTAGTACACAACTTAACACACTGTTTAACCGTTAAATGCTCACTTGCACCCATCCATGCTCCTGAGGGTGGCTATAACAGCTCATTAATATTTGTAAGTTTGTTAGAGGTCCTCATATTGAGCAACAAAAGGTGATTTGTTATGCAGTAGGGAAAGCCTACTTCTCATTTAAACTTCCCTCAGGGGGCTACAAAACTCGCAAATAATGAATGCCCCAAGTCCAGCCTTGCAATGAATCTCCTCCAATTTCTTCCCACTTGCATGCCAAATTATGCCAACTCTTCCGACAGCTATAAAGRCATTATCAGAGGCTGTCTAAAACAAGGGCTTCCTGTTGGAGAGGACACTTGGRAGGCTGGAGCTCAAGCTCCAGCTTCTGGGGATCAGGACTCAGGCAAGTCAAGCCTATTTAATCTCCATGTCAACACCAAGCATGCTGCCAGCTTCTTACAAGCGCAGGATGAAATCACTGYCTTGGACTCACAGGCACTGAACCCATAGGAGAAAACCTGCCTTTCCTCTGCTTCCCATGCCAGGAGCCCCTCATGCCTTCTGGCTGTGCCAGCCTAGCAGCGAGGCTGTCCAGGCCAGCTCCTCTCCTAGCACTGCTGCTGTGGGGAGGGAGCCCCACACGGTGCATCTTCCTTTCCTCCCCTTTCGCAGGGGAGCCTTGCACCTTACACCTTGCACCTTGCACCCAGCCTCATGTAAAGACAGCAGTCATTTCCCTGTGATAACACCAAGCAACAGGTGAGCTGCAAGCTCAGAAGCAGCATCTACCTCTTAATGCCAAAGCCTTTTTTCAAGTATAGCTGGTGCTGGAGGAGGCAAAGAGGGGAGCYGGCTGCGAGCAGCACATTTGGCTCCTGGAAGCAGCTCTCTGCCATTTGCATCACTTGGATATATTTTCATTCCCTACGCATCACACAGCAAGTGGAACTGCTTACTGTCTCTCCTGTGTGCATCCAGGATGAAAGTTTAAGCGAAATGAATAGCAAGATACATTTTACATATCTGTGAGTTGTTGCTTTTGGAGGGTTTTAACTGTTTCTGTCAGGAAATGGGTTCCCTACTTGCCCATGAGCCTACCAGTGTGGGACCACACTGCATCCCAAGGAAGAGCCCTTCACACCACCCCAAATTAGCAACAAGGAGATTCCCAGTCTCCTGGAGTAGTGCTGAACTAAACTGCACTGATCTCTGGCCTGCGGTCTGCAAAGCGCCACGGAGCTGCTGGGGAGTTCCAACCTATTTTTCCTGGGAAGCAAGATAAATCTGGGAAAGCTTTTCCATTCRATTCCCAATCTCCTAAAGCCAGCTCACTGAAAGACACAGAATCCCACTACAACTCCTAAGAGCCTTATTTCTCAGGAAAATGGTTTATTCCCTGTTTCCCCAAAGTGAGAGTGGCTAGAACTTACAAAAGAAAAGAAAAAAAAAATTGAAATCCAACAAAAATGTCACGCTAAACACAGATGTAACAAGGCAATTTGAAACAACACCCTGAAAACCAATTTAAAACAATCATGTTGATAAAATAGCTAAAATCCTGTGAAATCCTGTGAAACCTACTGGGTGATGCTATTATAAAGTTCAGGATCGATCCAGCAAAGAAAAAAAGTAGGTACAAGATCTCCAATATCTGCTCTCTGCTTTATAATTAACTCAATCTTTTATTTTAAATTATATGAAATTCAATGCATAAAAAGAAATATTTTGAATTTCTTGAAATTAATAGCTTAGAATTCTGTTTTTAAGAAGTCAGGATGTTCGAGTGCTGCAYAGACGTTTTCTCCTTTTCTCTCAAAAGGAAACTCCAACCAAGCAGTGATTTTGCAAATAGCTTCAGCTTCAGTGAATAAGCACTTCCCAAAGCCTGCTCCTCACATGCAGTTTCTCCAGTTAGTCCCAGCTCCAAAGCCAAAGATTCATCTCCCTGCAGAGCACTGCACAGTAGTCAGACATGCTCCTTTACTAGAATACTTCAGAAACACCAAAGTTACATTTAGGTAGAGAAGAAATTATTCAAGAATAGAAATTATTCAAGAGTGATTTCAACTTCAAGTAAAAGAATATTCAAGGCATGAAAGATGAAGACAATTATTGTAATAATCACAGAAGAAAATGCCATTTTGCAGTTGTGGAAGACCTATTCCTCCCAAAATAAAAAGGTTGGCTAGAAGGAGGGAAAGACAGAAACAAGGAGCAACACCCTTTCAKAGAGGTCCTTCCATCACAGTAGTAGACAGTCGACTTTACCACCTCTCGGCAAAGCTCTACTGACCCAATCCACTACGTTCATTAAAGCTTTGTTCTCCAAAAGGGCAACAGGAAAGGTTTTAGACGGGGAAGGCAAAAACAGATGCCTGATGAACTGGATGGACCTTGCAGATGTTTGGCCTTTTTCTGGTCCTCTGTGAACAGATGGACTTTTCTCCTTCACAGCTTTGGTTACTTAGTCTCTCAACGCATTTGCCTCCCTTTTCCACACACAGCTATAGGACCTGATTCTGTCTGAATTGAATTCACTGGAGAACATTTTCTTGAATGTAGCAGGGAAGGTAATTACTATACTGTTATTACTGACATTGCTATAAATCTCCCTTGGGCAGCAGGAATGAAGCGTGCAAAGACCACAGGCTCTGTGTCCTAAACAACTTACATTTTCAGTTGGCTCATGGAAGAAACAGGGATRCAGATGGGGCAGTAAGGGAGGAACTCCCTCAACCCATTTTGGTCAGCATTTTGGTCAGTTCGCTCAGCACCAGACTGAACACTGGAAGGTACTTCAGTTAYGAGTTGATTGCTTTACGTTCCCCCCACATGCCAACATGAAGGCATCTCTAGAAGCTGACTTATACTTAAAGGTAGGTGAAATAATSATCTGAAGGCAACCTCCTTCCCATGGCTGCCCAGACACCACCTCTTCCTCAACCCCAGCCCATCTCCAGCTTGATCAATGAGAAACCACCACCGATTATCAAGAGACCAGAGGGGAAAAAAAAAAAATCTCAACATTCAGTGCTGCACCAGCTTCTCTTTTCTTCTTACAGCTGTTAAGACCATGAGTCAACCTATGAACCGGCCATACCATGCAACAAACTCACCAACCCAGTTATTTCACATACGATGCACAGTGAAACCACAGCTCTGTGCTSTTCTCCTTGCCACTGGTAACACGGTGGCAGGCGCAGAGCACCCGTTCCTGCGCCCTCAGCACCAGCCAGAGGCAACACGGAGGGCTGACACCGAGAGGGCTGTTAATTCCTTCTCCCAATATTTTACAATTGAGTCATGAGAAGAGAAAAATTACGTCAGTCAACCACAGCTCTGCTGGAAAGTGTCCCCCAGGGCCCGGCACRTCTCCTGGCTTCATTCAAATCTGTGCCATGCAAATGCATTTGCAAGGTTTATAACCTCCCCCTCAAAATTTCTCCTTGCACTTTCCCAAAGCGATTTAAGCATTTCATTGTGGAACTTTCCAAGTGTACAAATAAAGAACTGCTCAAAGCCTTAACAGACCCTACGCGAGCACAAGCTTATTAAGCTGAACAGAAACTCTGGTATTTGTCTTTGGATGCCTGCTGCCTTATGGGTGCAAGGACAAGMTGTGATAAACTTCCAGCCTCATGCACCAAACACATTTCTGGCTTCCAGTCCAGCCCTCAAATTCTTAAGTGCACTTATTTTTTTTTTTTTTTTTGCACCATCAAGCCCCTATGGTTCCAGCCTTTGTTTTGGGGGGGATGCATCTGCAAGTCAACAAACAAACTGCAACACAGTAATTGCCTCCCCCATTGACTGACACTGTTGTTTAGACATGAAAAGGATTTGCAGCTTTGAAACTTCTAGACATGTAGAAGGTCCCACTTGTTTAGTAAGAAGAGACCATGCGGGGGAAAAACATTCAGAAAAGCAAAACATCATATTTTTCTTTGAAACAATAACTTAATGAAATCTATCAACCAACGAGACAGGATTCACACTGGTGTTCCCAGATCTCTGGCTGACATCTGAAGATTACATGCCCAGACGTTTCTCATTTTTGTCCTTCAAAACATGAGTAACCCTTTATCATCACCAGCTGGGTCATTTCTGACTCTTGAGGCTGGTTCAGAGACAGTTTGAATCACCTGAAGACCAAAGCTCTCCCCTGACTCAGAACGGAATGAAACAAAATGCTCTCAGGGTGCTCCAGCCCTGAGCCAAAGGGTCTGCATTCGGGTACAGTCGGCTTGCATTGCCTGGTCAAATATTTAACTTCTACTGCAGCGAGACAAAATTTGCAATTTGAGGGTTATTTATGGAGAAATGCTTAAGACCTTAGCTTAGACCCTATATCATCTGGCATTGGGCTAAAAGGGTTTTGACTGAGGTCACTGTAAACTCCTCTCCTGTAACTATATTCCACAGTGGCAAATACAACACCCTGCAGAATATTCCAGCTATATCACAAAAGTGACACTGAAAAACATCTTACAGAGAATTACTAGGTCACTAGATGTGACCTGGAGACCATCAGATGTGAACATGCATCCTGTTCCAAACCATGCATCCTCCAAACCTTTAAGTCTCTAAAATGACTGCTTTCGTATATCCACCTGGCTATCAACATAATCCTGGATGAGAAAAATACACAAGAACAGGTCATGAGAGTTAGCTGGACACCACACGTGCACCTATGATGCTATCAAATGACTACATGCAACTAGACAGTCTACCTAACTACACCAATCTGGTCTGTGACTTCTATAATAAGGCAGTTCCACCAACCAAACACATT